CAAGAGGTAGTAGAAAGTATTAGAAGAGACAAGTACTTAATTAACCAATTCCAAACTCAAAGTGATGAACTTACTAAATCTTAGCTATCTCTATTGTTTAATGGAGTGTGGCAGATATTTTTCCATAGTATGAACAATTTATACTTAAAATAAACCATTTGATGGCAAGCATTTGTCTCTCAAACCACATTTCCTATTCTATAAAAGTATAGCTCAAATTTAAAATGTATTTTGATTATTCATGAAACCAGCAATAATTTTTTTTTTTTTTTTTCCTTTGCGTTATGCGGGCCTCTCACTGTTGTGGCCTCTCCCATTTGCGGAGCACAGGCTCCAGACGCGCAGGCTCAGCGGCCATGGCTCACGGGCCCAGCCGCTCCGCGGCATGTGGGATCTTCCCGAAACGGGGCACGAACCCGCGTCCCCTGCATCGGCAGGCGGACTCTCAAGCACTGCGCCACCAGGGAAGCCCCAGCAATAATTTTTATTAAGCATTTTTGTGTCAAATACTAGGTTATGCATTTTTCATATGACAGTTCTAGTCCTCACAACAATCTTACAAGGTAGATGGTATTATGCTTATTTTACAGATGAGGAAACCGACATATAGAGAAGTTAAAGTGCTTTGCCCAGCATCGCAGAATTAACTAGTTATTAGAGCTAGGTTCTAGTCCGGAGGTCTATCTGATTCTGAAGCCAGTACTTTTGACACATCATGGGGCTTGCACTATGTGTTTATTAAAAACAGTATTATACATTAGTACAGAAATTTAAAGTTGTATAACATATATTAGTAAAAACAACTATTCCCAAGCTTTACTCCTTCTGTGATTCGTCTCCACTATTTTTTCTTTATAGACCCAAGGTTTACAACTGGCAGTACGGATTATCAAAGTTTTCATGGTCTTATGTTCTATATCCTCTTCCTAGAAACCTGCCACCACACTCCACTTCTAATATAATGTATCTTGGGGTTTTTTCTGCCATTTAAGAGACACATGGGTGTATATAGGTAGACTATCCAGTGTGGCCCGAGCTCCGGAAAATACTTGGCACACAATAAACACTAAAGAAATACTGGATGATGTGAAGAGTATAACCTAACTGCACAGTGGTGGGATGGGACTGTCACTGCCCTAATCCAGAGCTGATCTTTGCCATCACTAATGGTGGAACAACCAGATATGCTATGTCTCCCAATGTGATGCAATGTGATATATACATTACCTAGGATGAATTCTAATCAAAAATATTTAACTTGTCTCCATCGAGCTGAAGCTAACTTCCAGTTTCCAGGAAACAGCTAAATGCAGCTAAGCGACACCATAAGGAAGCAATCAGACTAATACAGAAGGTGGAATATTTCTCTGGACAACTTGACCATGAACAAGTCAGAATCATGAAAAAGGAACTGTTTTGAAATAAAAGACTTCATGGAAATAACCAGATGCAGTAAGTAGTCCTGGACTGGATCCAAGTTCATTAAAGGACAGTTTGGAAAAGACTAGGGAAATATGAATATGGATTGGATATTAAATAATATGAAAGAATTATTCTTAACTTTGAGGTTAATTTTGCCTATGTTATTGTCTTAAAGATGGATCTTCAAGTAAATATATGTATTTTATATATGTATAACTATATGTATATAATTTTTTTAAAAAAAACATTGGCTGAATGATTGAACGAATGAAAAAGTCTGGGCTGCAGATATAGTTTTGATAGTCAATAGCAAGCATGGTAATCAAAACCACGAGAACAGATGAGATCATCTAGGAAAGTATCAAGGCAAGACGAAGAGAGGGAATATCAACATTTCAGACACTAGAAAAAGTGCTATCAAATTGAAAGTGAGTAGCTGGAGAAGAGGACCATGAGGGAAATTGTACTCCTGAAGCTAATGGAAGAGAGTTTCAAGACAGATTAAAGCAATTAAAAATGTCAGATCCTAAACAGAGATCAAGGTGAATAAAGACTGAAAAGAGGCTAACAAATAACAAATAGAAGGTCACTGATGACCTGACTGAGAAGAGTTTCAGTAGACTGACTGGAGCAGAAGTCAGAGGAGTGAGCTGCAGTTGAAGAAGTGGAGACATCACTCCTCTTACAAAGTTTGTAGCTTCTCAGAAAGATGAAAACCTGTATAAATAATACATATTGTTCAGATAAGGAAATTCCTAGTGATTAGTACTAACATGCAGTAACAGGTAAGTGGAAGACAGAATATAAAGGATAGAAGGTGATGGCAGAGTTGTAAAATAAAGGATTCCTCCAGATTCCTCATGTAATACATAAAATATAAAATTTACACAAAATAAATACCTGCTATTATATTTACAATAGTCTGCAAATTCAATAAAACTATAGTTTGATTTTTTTCCTACTGGCCTCCTAAAGAAAAATGATATCATAACCTTATATAGATGTGTTTCACTGTATGAAATGGATTGGTTCCCTTAAAAGTTGGATGTGAAATTGTATTTTTGTAAATCAAATAACTAAGAAAATCAGAAAATTCTCTAGTTATAATGTAAGCCTAATTACCTTTAGGCTGCAATCTGATTTCATTCCGGTCATATCTTTATAAACAAATAATTTTAATATAAATGACTTTTGATTCTACAACATATATTCCTTGGTCCCTATTCTATCCTATGCAGATGGGAGATATGGGGGATAGATATTATTAACTCTATTTGACCAAAACCATTCTGTCTACCACAGGGGATTCTGTTTGTAAAAATATATGATTCTCCCCTTGGAAAGACACTGTTTGCCCAGAAAAGCTCTGGAACAGCCCCAAAGCTGTTTAGCTTTCTTAATTAATACATTTAAGAACCTTGGTCTGTCACATTCTTAGGCTCAGCCAAAGTCTCTTAACAGTCCTAAATGGAAGAACTTAAAAAAAAATCATCAGTATATTTTATAGAATAAAACTGTAGTTTTTGTTCTTTGTTAAAAGACTAGGAGTAAAGTATTTTATATCTCTTTTTTTTTTAATTTGTTTTATTTTTTTTGGCTGTGTTGGGTCTTCGTTGCTGCGTGCGGGCTTTCTCTAGTCGCGGCAAACGGGGGCTACTCTTCGCTGCGGAGCACGGGCTCTAGGTGCGCGGGCTTCAGTAGTTGTGGTGCACAGGCTCAGTAGCTGTGGCTCACGGGCTCTAGATTGCAGGCTCAGTAGTTGTGGCTCACAGGCTTAGTCGCTCTGCAGCATGTGGGTTCTTCCCAGGCCAGGGGTCAAACCCGTGTCCCCTGCATTGGCAGGCGGATTCTTAACCACTGCACCGCTAGGGAAGTCATTATATTTCTTTCTTATAAAACAATTACTTTTAACTAAAGTCGCCTGACTTTGAAGAGAAAATGCACTCTAATCCTAATACGAAGAAATATTATGTTAATTTTTTAAAAAATAAATTTATTTATTTATTTATTTATTTATTTTTGGCTGTGCTGGGTCTTCGTTTCTGTGCGAGGGCTTTCTCCAGTTGCAGCGAGTGGGGGCCACTCTTCATTGCAGTGCATGGGCCTCTCACTGTCGCGGCCTCTCCCGTTGTGGAGCACAGGCTCCAGACACGCAGGCTCAGTAGCTGTGGTGCACGGGCTTAGTTGCTCCACGGCATGTGGGATCTTCCCAGACCAGGGCTCAAACCCGTGTCCCCTGCAATGGCAGGCAGTTTCCCAACCACTGCGCCACCAGGGAAGCCCCTATGTTAATTTTTGTAATAATAGTTACTCAATATTGTATCCAATTTATAAAGAAGTTCAGACTGTCAAGTACTGGGAGTTTTCTTAAAGTGGGTCAGACCAACACTACACTATATAAATAATAACGGCCAATAATTTTTAAAGCACTTCCTATGTACCACTTCCTATGCTGAGAAGCTTAAGGATTACTGCATTAAATAGTTTCAATGGCAAAACCTGTGAAGTAAGCACCATTTATCATAATTTTCATTTTACGTATGAAGAAACAGATTAAATATTGCTATATCCAAACTAGTGTAGATTTTAAAGACATGCTATCTCACAATATGCTGAATTTTAATCACATGCCAAAAGAATGATAATCAAAATCAATGCCAAAAATGTGGTTTGAGAGCTATGCTATAGTAAATTTATAGAAAAAGTGGAGATGGTATGGGAAAATAAACATCAGTTTTACACAATGTGAATATATTTAACACTATTAAACAGTACACTTAAAAATGTACTTAACCATCCTAACCACTTAAATGGTTAGGATGGTAAATTTTATGTTATGTGTTTTTTACCACACACACCAAAAACGTTAGCTTTGTTAGAAAAATATTTAAAAGATTCTTTACTATAATATTTCTCACAATAGCCAATTTTTGCTTATTCACAGTAAAACACGTTTAATACTATTCCTTCCCTTATTAAGGCACAGAGATTATTTTTCTACAGTTTATGAATTAAAATCTATAGGTGTTTTAAATCTAGTAACTGTGGCAATGAGAAAAGATCTGAAGCCTTGGTTTTACATCTGAGAACCCCCCCAATCTATATCAGCTTACTTACTTCACCTCTATATTTCATGCTGTCTGTTAGGAAAAAGGTTAGTCTGTGAATATACAAATTGTTTTTTATAAGTAGAGGCAGTCCAACAGAGTCTAACAAAGTCTAGCTACCTTACATCTTTAGGGAAAGAAAAAGTGGAATAAATTTGGTACCCTACAAAGGTTAAGAGAAATTAAAGAAATATGTTGAAACATGCATAGCTGCAAAGACCTTCTGCAATGCATGCCATCTCGTAGCTCAGAATAACAGTAATGAAAAATGCTATTGTTGAATCTAGTCTTCACTGGGAGAGAAATTCTAATGATTTGTAATCCAAAATAAATCTCAAATTATATAAAGCAACATGCAGATGATATATATAAATGACTACACTGAGATTACACTCAGGAAGTTTTAAAATATTTTAAAAACAAAAATTTTTGTTAATTATGTTGTAGCTAACATGTAAACAGTCTTCTTACCTGCGTGGCCTTGTCCTTGGGGACATCATTTCATTCCCAAGTATGTGGTACCGTCTTGCTTCATGCAACAGCTGATAACACTCAGGAGAATTCTGGATCAGTTGGTCCACCTCAACTGTTTGAACAAAGTAGTTGGGATGCAACAAAGGGAGTCTCACATGTGTCAGGAGCTCATGTAACAGTGGTCTTCTCAGATCAACAGCACGATAGACCCAACGCATGACGGCTTCAAAAACCATCTCCTCTTTGCCAATGACAAGTTCATCACTACAAATATAATCAATAAGTTCATCTTTGTCAAGCTCAAGAAATTCTTCATGCTGGGACACATCCTCAAAAGTCTGTAATGCAAAATTCTTGCATTTTGTGAAGAGTGTTTTGAGGGAATGGGTATCAGCAAAGCGCTGGATTCCTAAGCAATTGCAAGGATCAAGTTGCTCCTCCAAGAACTTGGCACATGCATCACGGAGAACACTAATCTGAAAAAGGCTTGATGTTTCAAAGAGATACTGTACATTCTCTGTAGTGATCTTCACTTTTCCAGTATAAACATACTGCAAAAAACATTCCATAGCTTCAGCTAAAATACCATTGATCTCAACCAACATTTCTCGGCTTTCCCTGTGGTCATTACAAAACATAGCTCTGAAGTAGCTACTACAGGCTGAGAGAACAGCTCTATGGCAAGGAAATTCTTTTCCTTCCACACAAATGATAACATCTGTGAACAAACGACTATCTCGGAATTCATTAAATATCTGGAGTATGTTTTCAGCATGGGATGATCCTGAAGAGAAGTCAAAAAACTCACGGCCTGTCAGAGATTTAGGGTCCATTTCAAAAACTTTACGCTTTGTTGCTGGTGAATCACGCACTCCGAGATCCTCTCTGTTTAGTCTTCGTCCCAATATTAGTACCATTGTTACATCAGTTGACTATATAATTGTTGAGAAATAACTGTTAAGGATCTTCCTTATGTGGCTAAAAGTAAAAAAAATTAAACCATTTCAATATGTAGAAAGTTCAGTACTCAACACTCATTTTGATGTAAACACTACAATAAAATTACACAATCAATATATTTCATACAGGCTTTAGAGCACTATATCTCATTTTAATAAAAACTGATAAATAACCTTCTGTTTCCCTTTTACACAACTGGGTTTCAGTTACTGAATGTAGAGTTAAGTCAGAATGCTGTAAGACACAGAACTTGAGTACATTCAAACCCTAATATAAATGTTTATTATTTTAACATAGTGCTGCTAAGAAGAATTCAGCTATATCTACCAATGGCCTTTAAAAATATGTATGTTGTTTGACCAGTAAGTAGATAGATTGCTTTCTAGCAATCTATCCTAAGGAAATAATCAGGATTATACGGAAAGATTTATCTATAGTTGTTCAATGCTGTATTAATAGAAAATACTTAAAACAACCTAAGTACCCTACAGTAGCAGATTAGTTAAACCACAGTACATATTAAGGATGGAACACAGTCCCTGCAGCCATTAAAAACTAAACAGACTATTTAATGACACGGGGAAGCATTAACCAGATAGTAAGTAAAAAGCAGATGTCAAAACATATGCAAATGGATATAAATACACTACCAAATGTAAAATAGATAGCTAATGGGAAGCAGCCACATAGCACAGGGAGATCAGCTCGGTGCTGTGTGTCACCTAGAGGGGTGGGATAGGGAGGGTGGGAGGGAGACATAAGAGGGAGGAGATATGGGGATATATGTATATGTATAGCTGATTCACTTTGTCATACAGCAGAAACTAACACACCATTGTAAAGCAATTATACTCCAATAAAGATGTTAAAAAAAAACTGAAGCAAGAGTTAGAGCTGGACTAGGGGTATCTGATAAGAATTTTTCTCAGATTCTCCCCATTCTAGGTAGGTCTCTAAGAATTTTTATCTAAAGCAGCTGGGAGACTTATGAAGCTCTCTGTATGCTACATAGGCACATATTATAGTATAGATGTATGTATGTATAAATGTTTTTACTGCTGGAAAAGGACAAAAAAACACAAAAAACATACAAACAAAAAACGTATGCAAAGAAGGGTGCAGTGGATAAGACTGCACTCCCAATACAGGGGTCCCGGGTTCGATCACTGGTCAGGGAACTAGATCCCATATGCATGCCGCAACTAAGGAGCCGACATGCTGCAACCAAGAAGCTGGTGAGCCGCAACTAAGGAGCCCAACTGCCACAACCAAATAAATAAATATTTTAAAAAATAGGGGCTTCCCTGGTGGCGCAGTGGTTGAGAATCTGCCTGCTAGTGCAGGGGACACGGGTTCGAGCCCTGGTCTGGGAGGATCCCACGTGCCGTGGAGCAACTAGTCCCGTGAGCCACAACTACTGAGCCTGCGCCTCTGGAGCCTGTGCTCCGCAACAAGAGAGGCCGCGATAGTGAGAGGCCCGCGCACCGCAATGAAGAGTGGCCCCCACTTGCCACAACTAGAGAAAGCCCTAGCACAGAAACGAAGACCCAGCACAGCCAAAATAAATTTAAAAAAAAAAAAAAAAAAAAAACAAGTAGGAAAACATAAATGAAAAGACACTCTGCTTTCTGTATCCAATAATTTTACTGTATCTGGTATTCGTTATCTGGTATCTTATTGTATCTGTATCTGATAAATTTGGGGATAGCATATTGAGTGAGTTGGATTAATATAAGGCTGATTAAAATTTTATATGAGTTAAAGGTCTTTTTATGCTATTTTCTGCCCCTTAATTCTCATGGCTATTTTCTTTGATTGTTGACTGCCAAGAGGTCTTCCACTGCTTTACCAGAAAATCCTGAATTAGAACAGCTATAAAATCACCTGGTATTAAATGCATTCAAAAGCAACAAGATACTTGTCTACTGCTTTGTATGTAAAAGAGACTATCTCATAGATCTGGGCTATTTCCTTCCAAGAAGCTTCTGTGTGGCTTTTTGGACAGCCTCACTTTCTCTGGACTTTCTGAGAACTCTTCCATGAACTAGTCCACAACAGCACAAAACATAAACTCTTTGTATTGATGACACACTAGATGATTTATGCAATTGTGTCTTAGGAATATGAGATGCACTTCAGAGTGTATCCTTTGGGCTTCCAGATGTAATTCAGTAGACTTTAAAATTAGACTGAATTCTTCTAAAACTTTAGCAAATATCAAAGCATCATTATTCCCATCAGGAAAAAGTAGTAAATAAGTAGGCAAAACATGACGACAATGTTTGTTCCAAAGAAATATAATGACTGAAAATAATACCTACATAAGTTAGTGGATGCAAGGGTGACTGGACTCTCAATGACTGACTGCCAAAGACACATAATTTGTCTAGAAAAGGTAGTATCCCTTTCTTTCTCTCATTTCCTTCAGGAGCTTTATTCTTGGAACTAAACTCTCACTTGAAAGGAAGATTTTTAAGAGAAAGATTCTTCTGGTTAAGAGTGCTCTAGAGTTTATTTCCAACTACAGAACTCATAAATGTTGTAGACCTAGTTTCAGATTGCTAGGTAGATTTAAAAATTACCTGTTTTTGGCCTATGTCCCAGAAAAATGAAGGGAGATAACTTATTTTAGTGTCTTTTGGACTGGAGAAATGGTAGAATAGAGACTGAGGATACTCCTTTGAGGAGTAGAAAGGAGTGTGTAAACAGTTTATTTGGGGGCTTCCCTGGTGGCACAGTGGTTAAGAAGCCGCCTGCCAATGCAGGGGACATGGGTTTGAGCCCTGTTCCTGGAAGATCCCTCATGCCACGGAGCAACTAAGCCCATGAGCCACAACCACTGAGCCTGCACTCTCAACTAAAGAAAGCCCGCGTGCAGCAACGAAGACCCAACGCATCCAAAAATAAATAAATTTATTAAAAAAAAAAAAAGAAGTTTATTTGGTAACAGAAAAGTCTGTGATGCTGCCTTCCTATCTGATCTTGAGGATAGAATTGTTCCCTGTTACTCTGATGGTCTGTGACCCCTGGTTGAAGGAAAATGATTTACATTTTCTAATAACAATACTTAGAGAGTTTATAAATGTTATAAATATAATACCTTTTTAGCATTTGCTTGATCAAAGCCCCAGTTTTTCCACACCTAAAATAAATGGAAAACAGCAACACATAAATCAGATAGTAATCACTTTGTGTATAATTGGTGTTATTTACTAATATGTTGAAAGAAGGTTTTAGTAGATTTCAGTTTGTGACTGGAAGTTTACTTCTGCATAGGAAAACCAATCCTGAATAATCCTTAAAGCAAATTAATAACTTTATGCTATATCTAAAATAGTTTCCTTATTTATCAACTTCCTTACTTGACAATTTTATCCTGCAGTAAGGTTTCTTGAGTGAAAGATGAGTAAACAAATATTCATGTCAACATCAAGCTAACAGTGGAACTGAGATGAGGAAACATATCCTATGATAACTCTGCATTGGATATTTGAAGAATGTCTGGTAACTAATGTTTCATCTGAGTTTGGGGTCATTAAATAATTCTGAGTTGATCTAGCAATACTACCCAAAGCAAACAGTTTAGTCATTATATATTTTATATAACTATGAAAGCAATGACAAAATCTCAAGTATTCTGGGTAATTCAGGAAAAAACATTTCAGTTTTTAATTCTTAGTTATCTAGATTATCCATATAGAATCACCATGTTTATCAAGTAATTATGTTAAATCTTTTTGTATATAAATGCATATTTCTTCTGCTTTTTTGATCCTTATAGACTTTAGTACCTGTAGAAACCAACCAATTCAGCACAATTTTCCATTGCTGTTGTTGGAAGGGGAAGAGAGGAATGCTTAAGAGAGAATACTGGAACCTTGAACTGTACACAGTATACCCATAGTATTTAAGCACAAGTGATTCTGGTTTCTGGCCTAGATTATCTATAAATAGAACTCATAAATTCTTAACAAGTTTAGGCAAATTCAAAAGTGGATCCAGAAAACCAAGATATGGACTACTGATTTTTTTCTACATGTATACACAAACACATCTCTATACCCTGATTATTGTTTGATTGCGAAGTGAATGTTATTTTGCTTGTTTCCTTATTTGCAGAAGTCAATCTAACTTGTGTATATCTTGGTAAAGAATATTTCAACTTGGTCAAATTAGGGGATTATTAGTCCTAGCTAAGTAAGTTTTTCCCCCAATAAGACAATAAGATCCTGAGCCAATGTAGGGATTTGAGTCAATTCAAGCAACAATTCTAGAGAGCCTACCCCTTGTCTGCCACTGGGATGGTGAATATTGGATTCAGATCCAATTTTAGATGCTGTGGGGTTGGCTAAGATTAGAATCAAACAAGAACTCAAAGATTGATACTAAAATAGATTCAAATTCTCAGTGTTTCTCTAGCAGAAAACACAAATTGTTTTTCTGCTGGAGTGCAAATGGGAATAGATTCTCTCATGACTGATCTAGTCTAGAATTATACCTTAAGGAGTAGAAGGGCAAAGCAACTCACCTGGGCATTTTCTGCAGGGTTTTTAGGTAATACTTACCAACCTAATCAGTAAGGGCTAGGGACCGAGGAGGTCAGTGTACGAGGTCCAAAGGTGTTATATAGTATCAGAGTTGATTTTAGAGTGTAGAACTGCAATCAAACTTATTTTTCCTTTAGAATGAAGGACCCCTATACAAAGAAACAAGTTACTATTAGCCTTAAGATAGCATGGATTAGTGAGGGGTTTACAAAGACTAATAAACACCAGATGGTAAAGGAAACCAACAACATTTTGACTAACATGGTCCCTGCAACTTGCAGTAATGAATTGCTACATGCTATGCTCCACACTACTCCATTTTCTCAAATTGAACTTTGAATGAAGAACAACATAGCAGAAACAGCAAAATTACTAAAGAATAAGAGCTTTATCTTTAAAGATATACAGTA